CCTGTCAAATTTTAGGCCAGTGACCCCTCCTTGATCTAACAATTTTTTCAGTGCGGTAGCGTGAAGATGACCGAATCTTTCGTGCCATATTTTTAGTCCATTGATTGGAGATTTTTCTTTGGAAATGTGGATTCGATCGTTCCGAGGTACTACGTAGTAGAGATTACCAATGCGGTCCGCTACTGTGGCTGTTGTTCCCTTTGAGTCGATGACTCGTGCTTTGAACTTATCGAATATTACTTTATATCCTTTGTCTGTTATTTTGGAGACTGATAAGAGGTTTGTGCGAAGCGATGGCACATGGAGAGTGTTTAGCAGGTCAAACGATCGTTCCTGTGTGCCAGTATCAACGTGAATTTGGGCTGTGCCAACTGCGTCGATGGATATGGTTTGATCATTAGCGAGATCCAATTTTGTGTTAGAAGTAGTTCGCAAGTCTGAAAATTTTCTTTGGTCAGAACACGTGTGATGTGGCCCCACTGTCGAGACACCAAGCATCACATGGCATTCCAGTGTGAAAAAGGTTCCGCTGGATCTCGGTTGATTTTCTTGTCTCTTCTTTTTACGACAATCTCATTCTCTGTGACCAGGTTTTTTGCAAAAATTACATCACAGTTTCGATCCTTGATAATGGACGGTAAGCGCATCATTATTTTGCGATTCGCAGGAAGATCGTCCTTCATATTCCTCAAAGATCTTGACTTTTAGGGTTTCGAGCTTCGGAAGGTCGTCTCTCGTTTCGATCACAGTGCAAAAGGTGTTGAAACTGTTGGGTAAGCTTGTATAGCAACAACACTGAGAGAAGCTCCTCGTTCACTATAATTCCCAAATCGGCTAGCTTGTCAGCAGTGTCCAGGAATTTGGCAATGTGATCATGCAGATCTCCTCCTTCATGTAGTTTCATGAGAATTAAGGGGAATTCTTCGCTGGTCCCTGAGACTGGTAAATTGATTTGAGTTTGTCCCAAATTTCTTTCGATGTGCTGCAGTTTCGTATATGTTTTAGCTCGGGTGGACTTAACATTAATATCAGACTTGATCTTGCTTTACGGTCATTTTTTGTCCATGCTTTGTGTTCCAATTGAGACTCGGGATTACTGGCAATTATGGTGGGACAAGGTACCGCTCCGTTAGCGTATTCCCACACGCCATCTCTTTCGAGTAAGGCTTCAGCTTGGAGACTCCAAGTATCGTAATTTTCTTGATTTAATAACTCGACTTTAAATGAATTCATCATTACGGATGCGAGGATCGATAGACCAAATAATAAAAGGCAAAAGATACGAACCAAGATGTAGAACAAGTTGAACCAAATCTGGTTGTTCAGTTCAGATTTCTTGTAGCATTAGTGTCTGGGCCCATAACCTGTCGTGAATCCGGAATCAGCGGAGAGACACTCAGACGAAACACATTGTACTGGTTAAGGTATCTTCGTTTAATCAAGTAATTAATGTACAAATGAGTCTTTACATAACAGTAGGATGAACGTCCGTACGTGTCGACAGATAGTAGTCCGAACAAAGGAACAAGTGAAGATAAAGGGTCATAAAAAGTTTTATTTGGTTATTGGGAAGGTCCCTCTAGTGGGTCAAATTGGTTTGCATTGAGAGTACCGACAATTTTGTCTACCTGTCTTCAATATTATAAATTTATATTTTCCTAAAATACTTGGGATTTCCTCATGACAATGTTTCAAAAAATGTATTTTAAGTATAAAAAATATATTTAATATATTGATTAATACTAATAATGCTAACTTGTGTATAAAGGCACAAAAGTTTTACTTTTGTACATTTCAATATTTATTAAGTTAAAATTTTTAAAAGCATGGCAACTACTTTTTATTGTACAAAAGTATGCATTTCTTTGTATGCTTCAGTCCTTTACAACTTACTGGAAGTTAAAAAAGAAATAGAAATTACTGGATATTAATTTGAAGCTAAATAATTCTATATACTTAGATAATATACTTACTAAAAAGTTTGATATAAAAATTGCAGGGCAAATAATCATGTAAAGTATCTAACAAGAATTATAGTATCCAGGATCAAAAGTCAGAGTCTAAAGTTAGTTAATATTTTGTCGATTTCTAAGTAGATGAGCACTTAACATTCACTTTATTTTATTTATTTATAATTATTTTTTCTTTAAAATTATAATATAATGAATTTAATTATTTATCCTGAATTTTATAAATGTTTAAAATAGGTAATTATAATAACAATAATAATTATTATTTGATGCTAATCTTATTTTTTATCCATTTATAAGTTAGGCATTTTATTCAAAAACTTTTGTTGTTTATATTTAAATATAAACATTGAAAATTGATTTCTTTAAGATAACCAATTAAAGGACAAAATTAATACAATTTTATATCACAAGATTAAAACTTTATTGTACTCACTTTTTTCAAAATTATACTCCTATTGAATAATTCTTTAATTACTCAACATAAAAATAAAACATTGTTTTCTTTTTCATTAATTTACATCATTAAGAATGATTTCAAGTTATTGACAACTTCCTTCTTTTGTCAAGTCCACAACAAGTTCTGTTGCATGTTTTGCTGTTCCCCAAGAGAGAGTAACACCATGTCCTCCATGTCCATAATTATGCACTATCTAAAATTATAAAATTTAATATTTTTATCTAAATAATAATTACAGAATTTTTGTTTAAAAAATTATATAATTAAAATAAAAATCAAATTAGATATCAATATTCCTTTTCAATAAAAAGAAATTTTATATTTCTAACTCCAGTTATTTTAGCTAAATAGAAATTATTTACATTTGTATTTTGATATAAAATTAACAAGTTGATTAGAAATAGTAATGCTAGCTAGCATCACTTGATCTTTTAAATATATTACTTTGCATACAGTAAATTCTTGCTAACTTGGACAAATTTTTTCAAAAAATTGTAAAGCAATTTAATATTCCTTGACATTAGAATAATTATAATTTCATTATAACATGAAATTAGCAGACCCCGCCATACGTTGTTGTGGCTCAAAATGTATCTAGTATAAATGTATAACACTTCCCCCGTGGGGGAAATTTTTCGAAAAATCCCTTCTTAGTGCACATTCTCTTGATGTACTCTATTAAAATGCAATCAAAAACGCAAAAAATCGCATCTAAAATAGTATAAATAGAAGCAGAGTTCTTCACGGTAAGCCTTAATCCTGTCCATCTTCCCCCCAGTGGGGGGAATTTTGACACGTATATTATATAAAAGCATGTGCGTATTCAAATGCAACATTGTGTCAAAATTTCAAAGGAATCAGTAGGAACAAACGAACATTACATTTTTATTTATACAGTAATACCTCGACTTACGCGAACCTGGAGTTATGTGATTTTCAAATCTCGTCGATTCATCTTTTGTTTGAGTGCCACGCAACTCTTGATTACTCACTCCCCCCACACTATTGTTCAGCTTACATGTTCAGACGTGTCACGCAGAATTGACGCATAGCTACAATTTATTTTGTGTTATTTATATCTACGGAGACTTGAGAGACTCTATGTGATGATTTCTTGTAACTACTCTACACAGACTACTCTAACAATCAAGCAGAGTCCTTAGCTATTTTTAACTCTGAACTATGTCAAAAATAACATTACTAGGCTCAAAGGAAAGAATTAATATTCTTAGTGACAGTCATACGGCAATCCTTCAAATATCTAATCTCAACTGTAAACTGCCAATCATTGAAAATAGTCTGGAAATTATCAGCACACTGCAACATACTGTGAGGCTCAACTGCATTGGATTACAGGCCACTCAAATGTCTATGGCAATGAAAGGGCCAACTCCCTTGCCAAAAAGGCATCCTCCCTTGCTAAATCCTGTAGCTATCTCCTGGTTCCTAAATCTTGAGTATACAATGAATTCCAATCCATCATCACCTCCTGCTGACAGTGGGAGTGGGACATGTTTAAAGCTCTGACAGAAATCACTAAAAACCTCCGAAAATATACAGGAAGCATCTATTTCATTACGGATAGCAGGTACGTGTTAAGTGTCATTGCTGGTACCGCCAAACGCTCCTCCACTGGCACAAATGTCTACTACCTAGCGACTAACCTACAAAAGTAGGAAAATCAAATTCGTCTGGGCCCCCGGGCACAGCGGAATTCCTGATGCCCTTGCCAGGAAGGTTGCCAACCTCCATGTTACCCCCTCCTTTGGGAAGGTCCCCATCACTTACATTAACAAACTATTATACAATCAGATCATCGAGGAGTGGCAGAAGGATTGGACTGATTCAACAACTGGAAGGCTTACTTTCAATTTTCTGCCATCTGTTAGGAGTCGTCAACTCCTAAAGCACATCACCCCTTCCTATTATCTTACGCAGTGCCTCACCGGGCATGGGAATTTCCCAGCCTACCTCGCTCGGTTTGGCAAAAGAGAAGACGACAAATGTGACTGCAATGACTCTGTTATTGGGGACGCCCTGCACACTCTCCTAGACTGTCCTCACCACGATATGGAGCGCCAAGGACTCATGGGCTTCTGCCTAACTAATGGGCAAAATTGGCCCCCCAACTTAGACTTTCTATGCAGCAATGTTGGCGCCTTTAACCATCTCAAAAACTTTGTGAACAACTGTAGCACTTACCGGGTCACCCACCCGTCCCCCCCTAGCAGGGGCCCTCTACTGTGTTCTCAATCTCTTCGGTCTGTTGTTCATCCCTAATCCACCACATGTGGCTCTAGCCGTCCTGTGACTGTGTTATTGGAATTGTGTCTAACAGCTGTAGGGTATTCTATGTCTAGTTAATGGTTAAAGTTGTTTGTTTGTTTGGCTTGTCCAATACCATTTTACCGGACCCCCCATCGGGATTCTCTTTGCACATCTCTACTCGTCTGATTTGTATATCTACATCTGTTCCATCAGTGTATCAACATGTACCATATCTATCAGTATGTATATTGTTATCATCGGCTGCCAAAACGGCGCCTGCTCTGTATATCTATTTATATTCTAAACAAATACGGTATAAGTCGCTGTATGATCGCAAATTTACCTTCCTTTCTAAACTTTATACTCTCTAACAATCCCCGCTTCTCCCCCCACCTCCCCTTCTCCATGTCTTCCTTCACACTCCCCTATCTCCTGTTATTTCACATTCGGTCTCTTTTTCCTTACCTTCTCCTTCCATCTCTATAGAGCAAAGTCTGCCGCTAAATGACAGACAGCTCTTCTATTCTTTAAATAAAGTAAAGTAAAGTAAAGTGGGAGTGGGACAGCAGTCAGACTGCCCAGCTTACCCACTCCTTTCTGCTTAGCATTGAGCATAGGAGGAAGCTCATCTACTTTATCACATGGTCTCACACAAGTGCTTACGGCATACGGTGGATTCAACACCTACCTTTGATGATTTCTCAACAAAACAAATGGACTGTGCAACTGTAATAATATAGATGACAAAGAACCTCTGCATCTGATCTTCTAATGCACCAAATATGACTAACACCAGCAGAAACTGCAGGATGCAGTCATTGACAATCACTAACACTGGCCATGTAATCCTAACACCCTCATTGAGGACTCAAAGATCTTCAGTGCTTTTAAGGACTTCGTTAAGTATCTGAACTTGACAGAATACTCAACAATATCTACTAGCAACACCCATCTCTAAATGCATCACATATCTGGGTTGTCTGCTTCTCCTAAACCACCACTCCCATCCTACACTATTGTTGTGTTGGTGGTCCCAGCTGAGTCATTAATCAGCTGTCATATCATGATCACCATTAATTATTGTAATAATTTTCTGTTTTGTAATTAATTTTATGTACTGCTTATATTATTTCTGTGTTCATACCATCAATATTGTATACCTACTTGTCATGCAATTCTTTTGTTTTATGTATCATTTTTGTTTTTTTATAATCTATATTGTAATTTTGTTCACTGTTTAATAAATGTGATGCAGGCACCCCAAGGGTTCCATGGACCTTATGGTTACTCCTTTCCTTCTTTCCTAACTCACTTTATTTCCCATTCCCTCTCGCTCCTTCATTCTTTACTTCTTTCAATTTCTTCTAAACTGGGCTATACCAACGAGTGAAGCTCCTAACTCTTTTCTAGTAATAGTAGTAGTGTGTAATAGCCAGTTTTCATCAGCTGTTGTATTTAGCATTAATGTTAATCTAAAATTATTGTCTGTTGATTATTACTCCAAAAAAAAATGCATGGATGGATCAGAGAGTGATTGAAAATTTGAAGTGTCACTCTAAAAAGTATTTGTTTAACATTTCTTGTGATATGGGTATGAATTTGAATGAATTTTGGAAAAAATACACTATTAAACATGCAATTTTCATCATCATTGAAGCATGGAATAATGTTCCAAATGAAATACTATCAAAGTTGGGACAAAATTTGGCCATCAGATGCACTTAATGGAAGAAACAGTGATGAAAACAAACAATTGCTGGATGATGTTTCTTAAATGTTTAATGACACTTTTCAAATAGAACAGGATGATGTAAAAGACTGGCTGAATAGGAATAAGTCAGATTTGGAAAACAAAATTTTGAATGACAATGAAATAATAGAGTAATGAACAAGGACATTACAATAATGATGATGATGACGAAGATGACAGCTAATTCGCAACGTTTTAATTGCAAAGTTGAGGAAATGTTATCAAAATGCATTGAATGGTATGAACAGCAAAGTAAGGCAGAAATTCCAAACTTAATTGCAATGCAGCATGTGCAAAACTTAGCAATTGCAAAGGAATGCAAAAAAAAAAGTTTAAAAAATAACAGTTTTTTAAAATGTAATTGTACACACATATAAAGACAAAATAACAATTTTTTAAACATTTTGGCAAGATTTATAGTACATACGGTATTTTTTTAAGTTACATTCTTAGTTTTTGTAAAAAATAGGTTATAAGTTATGTATTGTGTTAATTAAAACTACAAAAGTATTTCAAAATGTGTTTTAATTATCATTCCTTGAATTTTTTTATAATTTGTCACCCCTGGTCCTGGATATGACAAATTATAGTTTCTACTGTATTTCTAAAAAAAGAGTATGATTATTAATAAATCTACTGAACTGCTGGATTCTTTTGGCTATAACAAGACTACTAATTATTTAAATAATTATAATTTGTGAACTAATCAAAAGTGGTTAGGCTGTCATCTTACATTACTGTGAGGATCAGAAATTTTGTGTTATAAACTTTAATCTTTTATAAATTTTAATTAAACTTTAAATGCAATTCTATAAAGATGGAACGAGTTATTATAAATTAAAAGAGAAGAGGGAATAATAAAATTGATAAAATCAGTTTAAACCTCGATTCCCATGAGTTGGGTTCCTTGTTGAGATGAGTAAATCTCTGTCACTTGTCACTTCATTGGTCCAAGGAGATCGTCATAGATGGCGAAATCAGGGAAAGATCCAAAAGGAGCACTTCATATAAAAAGGGCAGGCACAATTATTAAGATAGTGGAAGTTATAATTTGATTGTGTGTGTGTGTGTTGCACGTCCACCTCATGCTGAGATCGACTTCGAGAACTGTTCCTGTTCGTTAATCTCCTCGTCTACTGAACTCTAGAACATCAATGATCCACCTATTTAACTTCAAAGAGAACTGTTCTGGAAAGTACAAGGATTGGGACTTTATTACTCGATCAACAGTATAATATAAGGTATTTATCCTGCCTGCGCATTATTGTATTCTCTCTCTCTCTCCTTACAACCTGATAGCGAATGCAATTGTAACTCGATAACGGAATGCGATTGTAAATCAATGCCGAACATGATTCATGTAACTTATATTTAGCGTCATACTAACTTTGTAACCTTAAATTCTGATGTATAACTAACTTAGATTTAATATAAATAAATGGTTATTTATGTTTAAAACATCTTTGAGTGCAGTTTCTTCCGTTCTTCTCTCCGTTCACTCCATTCCGGGTCCAAAACTCATATGTAACCACTCGCGCAAACTTGTGGTCTCTGTATTGACCTAAGAATATAGTGGTGTCATCCTGACATGGTATCGAAGAGATACCGACCCTACGGTCACATTACTAGATCATCTAGGAATGAGATTCAACTTGCTCTGGAGTCAATCTTTTCATCTAGAAACTTCTATATAATCTAATTTAATCAAAATTCAAATTATTATATTAAGATGAGGTGATGGAATAACTGCTTGCCATTAGGCCAAATTATATATTGTTTAAATGATTAGCGTTATTATAGACTAAAGAATCTAGCAGTTTTCCAGTATATAAATATATAAATAGAAATTCAAAACCGACACAATTTAATAAAGATTAATACAAAAATTATGTTAAAAATGATTAATAAATTTACCTTAAGAACCTTATCTTTGTATTGAATTATTTCTTTTTCAACACGAACAGGCTGTCTAAATGGTCTGAGTCCTACCCAATTCCATTCTATGGTTGCTTTCTGTAAAGTAATATTGTTTGACAGAATAATTAAAGTTAACATTACTATTAGAAAAATAGTATGTTTAAAAAATAATTTAACCTTTAAACTTGGAACTAATTTTAAACATTTCTCCCAAATCAAATTACAGTGATATGGATTAATATTCATATTCCAACTTCCATATTCTTTAATTCCACCAAGGGTAACATAATCTATTCTGATAATTATTGTCAAAATAAAAGTTGATATTTAAGAAAAGCACAAAAGATTTAATATAAAATTTAAATATTAAAATTTACCCTGGAATAATGTAAACTTCATCACCATAAAAAAAATGTTTAATCCAAGGTGCTTTAACCTGAAATTATTTTAAAATTTTTTATATAAAATAGAAATTTTTAGTTAAAAATTAGTAATTACCTTTATAGTTTGACCTCGAATTGGAACCAACTTATAATCTTTTGTCAAATCTTTGGCTCTCAAACCAGTACAATTTACAACTGTATCATAATTACCTGCAAGCTTATTTCAGAATATTAATTCAATACCTTATGAAATAGAAACTAAAAGTTAGATAAAACAAGACTATGTAATTTTATTTTTATAATCAATATTCTATTTTATATGTGGAATTTATACCTTTTTGGTGCTTTAGAGATATTTGGGAACACTTAAATGAATTTTGATTGTCATTACCATAGTAATTTGTTATAAAAAGCCTTGAACTGAATTATACTGTACGATATATTTTATTAAAGCACTTATTTTATTTTATGTAACTTAAATTTGTGAAAACTTTTTACAGTAATACCCTGAACTTACACGATAGGTGAGACCGAGCGATAACTGTGTAAGTCGGGGTATAATTTCACATATAAATACAGTAGAACGTCGATTTTCCGAATCAATTGGGGACTGGGGTTGTTCGTATAACTGATATTTCGGATAACTGATTTACGTACGAAAAAATAGTTTAATGTATCCGATGTCGAAATTTTCTCCGTTGCGTGTCACTTCGCGTTGAATTTTTGTCGATGTTAAGCCTAATAAAGACTATTGTATCGTTAAAAATTATTTTTTTATTTTGTACAAACAAAATAAATATATTGAAAAATATAAAAATAATAATAAATTATACTTCAGATGTTAATTTAGTATCAAAAACATAAAATATTTGAGTAGCCCAAGACACAGCCAAAAATTGAAGCGCCACAGCACTGGCGAAAATTTAAATTTGCCGACTGGAATTCTTTCAGATGATTGATGTTTCGGATGATTGACTTTCGGAAAATCGACGCTCTACTGTACATACAAATAATTTTTAATTGGGGCCGGGACTAAAGAAAACAATAATTTAGAAAAAATGTTTAATAAAATCTTAGATAATATATATGTATAACAAATTATATTATTATACAATTTTTCACATTTACTTGATTATCACACCATAATTTTAACATTGTTTCCATCTCAGGGAAAATACCGTGACATTTACGAATGACGCTTGAATTTAAAGATTGAGCATTTTTCACAGCTTCGAAAATTTTTTCTTTACCTTTTATAATGGTTCTGACCATCAATTCCAGTAGATCAAACTTCTTTGCCAATTCACAAATTTTCATTTTTGTATCAAAGTCTTTAATAATGTTAACTTTACATTCCAAAGATAAAGTTTTTCTTTTCTTGTTTGATGCAGAAGAATCAGTTCTACTTCGTTTGTATGACATAGTAGAGTCTCTCAAGTCTCCATAGATATAACAAACACAGAAATAAATAACACAAAATAAATTGTAGCTTTGTGTGGATTCCGTGCGACATGTCTGAACATGTAAGTTGAACAATAGTGTGGGGAGTGAGTAATCGAGACTTGCGTGGTGCTCAAACAAAAGACGAATTGACAAGATTTGAAAATCGTGTAACTCCGGGTTCGTGTAAGTCATGGTAGCGTAAGTTGAGGTATATAAATCAGAATCAAGAAATATACACACTTTAATCATCTGAATCATAGACCAGCTAAAACACAAAAGTTCACACTTTTTTATTCATATCCATTTTGCACAAATACATTTTGGCATATTGTCTTCTTTACATAAAAAGGACATAAAAATATATGTATATATTGGTAGAAGTGCCAACCTGTGTTATTCTTATCATGCAATATTTATTCCAATGTGATTCTTAAAAATATTATGTGCAATCTACACACAACAAATTTTTTGTATAATTTACATTTTTATAACATGGTATACTTAAACTAAGATTTTCATGATGTTTTTAAAATGTATTTGTACAAAATGGATATGTATCTTTGAATAAATAAGTGTGAAATTGAGTCATTGTATTTTAGCTGGTCTATAATTCATATGATTAAAGTGTATACAATTCTTAATTCTGATTAATAATATATCAGCCCACTAAATAATTATCTTTTTATGTATTAAATGAAAATTTTAAAATATTGAGATTTTTATCACTGTTATTAATGACTCTTATTTAATCTTAATTATAAGTCAATGAACATTATCCATTAAATCAACACATAATGATTAAAAATAAATTATTTTTATGGTAATTGTGATAGCTGCAATTGATATGTATGCACTGGTACAATGCAATATACAAATCTCCTATATATTCTAATTAAACATTTCTAGTATTATGATACAGTAACTTAATTCTTTTTTAATTCATACAAATTTTTTTGTTTAAATTTTTTAATGTTTACACAATATAATTCAAATTTCTGAAATCTGAAATTACAGGGTTTTTAGCTATAAAAGTAAATTGCACTACTTCAAAATCTGCACTTTCAAGAATATTAATAATTGAATTAATAATAATTATTAATTCAAAATGAATTAGTAAGTTCTACACTAATGGCATTGTTCTAATTTAGAATGCATTTTTCTTCCTTGAAGGAGATCATTAAAAAGCATCCAAAAACATAAAAATATAATTAAAATTATACTACATTTAAAAATATCAGTGTGAAATTATTAGCTGTAAAAATAAAGTTTAAACTTTCACTCTGTGAACATGTCATGTCATAACCTAACCTACAAAGAAATTTATTAAAATTATTTCTCATTGTATCCAAATGTTCTGATTACTTAAATTGATGATTCAGTTTAAGTAATCAGAACATTTATTCAATTGCTTGTTTATTCAGATTTTCATTCAAGTTATTTAATAAGCAAACAACAGATGATATAGGTTTGCATTTGTGATTTTGAGAATTTTTTATTAATCCATTTCCTAATTAATTGAAAATTTATTTAAAAAGCTTTGCCAATATATTTTAATATAATTTATAGTATGTATCTTTTATATTTTGATTTAATTGCTTATTGCTTTACATTTATGAAGAATTTTTATAAATTTAACATTTATATTTTCTCACAATTTTATTCATTTCAGAACAATTTATGTTTATACTACTAAAAATATAGTTTTGTATTCAATAGTTTGTTATGCAATAATAATAAAACCAAAGTACAAACTAGTATGAATTTTACCTGATCAAAACTTTCTACAGTTTTGTTTTCAACCATGCCTCCTTTCTCTTGAAATCTAAATAAAATATTTTTAAATTAATTTTCTTTAAAAGATGTTAATTCTATAAATTTAAAAACAATTACTGTTTCATCATCCAAGGAAGATATCTTCTACAATCAGCAATAATTGTAGTAAAGAATAATCCATTTCTAAAATGATTAATATCACTTAAAATGATGATATTAATACTATCATAACTTTAAATGTAAAAGAGCATATGTAACAAACTTAAAGCTTTCTGGAAACATAGACAATTCTTTAATGCACATTTTTCTTGTATCTGGTAAAAATTCATTTAATAAAGGATTCTGAAAAATTTTAATATTTTAAATAAATATTAAACAATTTATTTCTAAATAATTTCTTAATTAACTATTAATTATCAAATTTATGATTTCTACATTACATTCTGCATAACGATACATTAACATCATTTTATACATATAGAATTTGCTAAACTGAATATATAAGTACTGTCTTATTCTTTTGAGTTTTAGCCTAAAAAATTATAGAATGGTTGGCTAAGATAGATGAAAATAAGTTTTAAAAATTTAATTATAACAACGAGCAATTATTTATTGCAACATCATCACAATACTGGGCTGAAATTTTTAATCCTATTTTTCATTTATTTAATTTAAAATATATGCTCACCACCTGAAATTAGTAGTGGCTTGCCCCTGTACATCATAATTTTCCTTTAACAGTAGAGTTGTGCTGGTCATCTATCAACTGCTTTCAGGGAAAAAGTTTTGAATTGAAATAACATGACTTCCAGTTTGCATCAGAAATTTGTGTTTAGTTAATCGGGACCTCCTGCCCCTAAGGTTTTCATATCTGGTCTTGAATTTCATCTATCTAACTCCGTTCTCAAGATTTAGGAAAGATGGGTGGATGACAGTGGGAATTTATAGGTGTACAATTTTTTAAAATTGCAGCCCAATTAAAATAACTTAATTATTCAATTAGTTTTAAAAATCTATATAATGTTCAGTTTTTCAGTTTATAAAACTAGAGTCAATTTTTCAATTTTAAAAGTTAAAAATAATTAACATATTTTGGAGCTCAAGTAGTATAAATCTTTTCTAGATGTTTATACTGTATATATAAAATTAACAAATTAGTTCAAACTGTTTAATAATTAAAATTTTTGGCAGATATCAATTTGTATCTGTCTCTCAGTATTTATTCCAATAATTTGTAATTTCTTCTTCTTATTCATTGTTCACTTCTGAATGTCACAGCCAGTTGATGAAAAGAATTAGACTGTTTATGCATTGTTTCTAGTCTTGTGCTTGTCTTATTTGTTTTTGGTCAAGACAGAGAACAATATCATAACCTCACTGGTTTAACAGCCAACAGAATTAGGCCACAATGTTCATGATTTGATTGATAAACCTTATGAAGGGTAGTTCTTTTGTCTAAAACCATCAATATTGACTATCAGCATAAGTCTCTCAAAGACATAGGTTACCAGATTTCTATGGCTGGATAAGTGGACTTGAGTTACTAGAGAGGTTGAGGCGCACGTTTTAAACGTGTAAACGTGTACGTGTGACGTTCGGCGCCGCTTTCCCGTAAGCCTAAAAGTTTGACGATGGTGTTTGGAATGTTGAGCGTGATTCCACCGACTATCCAAACACCATTGTCAAAGTTTTAGGCTTACGGGAAAGCGGCGCCGAATGTCACACGTACACGTTTACACGTTTAAAACGTGCGCCTCAACCTCTCTACTATGACTGGGAAAAAGAATTTTTAAAACTGATTAACTCTTTAAACACAAAATTGGCCTTATCCATTCAAAACAAATGGAAAAGTTATTTGACTGGTTTTGCTATAGAAGTTCCCCTTGTAGCCTGAGGGCAAAAACAATTTAGTCTCTAGCTACATAGTAGGAGAAAGTTTTCAGAGCTTAAAGAGTTAATGTTACCACTCTTCAACTGCCACTCCAACCTGCCTTACCCCCAAAAATTAAAATTGAAGTTTAAAAATTGATAAAGATAAGACTGAAAATTGTGTGCCATCTTGCTGAGAGTGCATGTCTTTTTGTGTCATCATCATTTAACTTCAGATTAAATTTTTTTAGCATATCCAGGAACACAATACAGTACTGCTGACTTTATCTTTGCTAAGAGCACAAAGCTGTTAATCACTTTTGTTCACTTTACTAAGATGAAAATGTCAATTCATCATGAAGATATTGTCTAGGAATGTCTGATCTTTCTCAATCCAAAAGCAACATTTCTGCTCATAATTTCTGACAAGTCACATTATCTGCATCAGTAACTTTTGAAGCATTGAAAATTTCTATGGTTTCAAGTGCAAATGAAGCATTTGCACTTAAAACCATAGAAATTTTGAAACTCACCAAATGGTTGGTTGTGAAATGACAGTTAGATGAGATGCATAATTTCATTGATTTCCTAGGACTACATAAGATCCTCTCTCTCTAGTTTCATGATGGGATCAGAAACACATGAGCAATGAAGGAATTTTTCATGGCAAACAGAACAACTAGTGCCAACAGAATTTTGGTGCCAAACATAAATTATAGGTCTACTTGGAGACTCCTACAATAGAAGTTAAGATAATTTGATTAAATTTGTGTTGCAGATTTAGTTTCTTCAAACCAAAACACATTTTGAATGCATTCCATACCAATAAAGCAGCCATTTTGAAGTGATGGAATACGTACTATGGTACTAGAGAACATCTACAAATCATGTAGTACAATCTTATGCAAATTTTGATTCCTTTCCCATCCTGATGACTCTCCATGGTGAAACAAGTGCCCCTACCGCCAAAATCACCTAGTCTAAGAAAGCTGGACCCCAAATACTTTTATTTTATTTTGAAGTTTAAACATATGTGGTTTTTCATACAATTTTACCAGCTTAATATAACTTTTAGAATTATTATTATTAACCTGCTGTAATTATTTGCACAATACTACATAAAATCATAGAATATATATTTTTATTATTTCATAACTAAATCATTCTATACAAATTTTTTATGATAAATAAAATCAATAAAATAAAATAAAATAATTATAATTGTGCAATGTGCTCGTGCTGCTGTTACATAATTGATTCAGATTACATAATAAATCAGCAATATTGCTGATTTATTATTATTGTCCCTTCTGCTCATTGTTGATTTTACTAATATAAAATAATTTTTTCTAGATTTTCTTTTTCTTTTGGAATCTCTCAAATTCAAATTCTGTAACTATACTTTTGTTTACCTATTAATTATAGAATACTTTTATTTTACAACTGCAGAAGTTGTAAAATCTAAAATTATTTCTAAGAATTAAAACTATAAATTTTTTCAGCTTTACTCTAAAAATGTTATTGCTTATTATATTATAATAGTACAGCTAAAATTATGAATTACTCATTTTCTGATATTTTGATAAAAAAAATTATTGCATTTTTATTTTTTAACTATAACTATTTTGGACTAGATAGCATTAAAAGAATATATACTTGCTTCATGAATTTCATCCAAACTTGACAAATAAAATCCTGAAACAAACTGTACTCCAGCTTCTCCAGCATCCTCTGATTTTAAAATTGATAAAAAATGCTCATAACTATCTTTACACCATTGCCTAAAAGAATAAAATGATTTTCATTTAAAAATTAAATTCATTTACACTCAAAATTATTTTTATTTATTTGATTACTCCATCTTCTAAAAAGTGTTATATGTAATAAAAGATTTAGTCATGGCCAACACTTATTTTGATAAATGTGAAGAACATTTAATAACTTATAAAGAGCAGGGATCATAAATCACAAATAGACTACCTATTAACAAGACGGACTACTCTAAAAGGGATTAAGGACTGTAAAGTGATACCAGGAGAAGACTTGACTAGTCAGCATAGATTTTTAGTAATGGAATTAAGGATTGATCTTAATAGGATTAAGTATAAAGATAAACTGAACCTAAAATTAGGTTCAGTTTATCTTTATACTTCTGGGTGAAGGAACTTCTGGGAGAAACAAAGTCAGTTAGGAAAATAGAGGAGGAAGTATGGTGATGGAATGAAGAATTAAAGAAAGCTATAAGAGAGAAGAAAGATGCTTTTAAAAGTTGGCAGGATGAGAAAGGAGATAATAAGGTAAGGGAAGAGAAAAGAGAGGTCTATGTGCAGATGAAAAAGAAGGTAAAGACAGCGTTTGCCATAGCTAAGGCTCAAGACCAGGATGAAATGTATAGATCACTCATGGGAAAAGTGGGTAGAAAAGCCATATACAGACTTGCGAAAATGAGAGGCAGAGGGAGTAAAGATATGATCTATATCAAGTGTATAAAGGACACAAATGGCAAAGTGCTAACTAAAAATGAAGAAATCAATGCCAGGGGAAAACATACTTTAAAGACCTTATGAATGTGGAAAATGACAGACTAACAATGAAAATGTAGAGCCAAATATTGGCCTAGTAGGCATAATAGAGAAATGGGAGATAAAGCTGGCATTGAATAAAATGAAAAATGGGAAATCAGTGGGCCCACATCAGATACCAATAGAGGTATGGAAAGTCCTAGGAGAGGAGGAAAGAGACTGGTTAACAGAGTTGTTTAACAAAGTATTGTTAGAGGGATCTATACCCAATGAATGGAGAAGCAGCTGTTTAGTGCCCATCTTTAAAGAAAAAGGGGATGTGCAAGAATCCAATAATTATAGGGGTATAAAACTATTGACTCACACAATGAAACTTTTTGAAAAGGTAATTGAATGGAGAATTAGAGAGGAAACTAGTGTCACTGAAGGCCAGTTTGGATTTATGCCTGGGAGGAGTACTATGGACGCCACATTCATGGTGAGACAAGTGATGGAAAAGTACCGATCTGTGAGGAGAAATCTGCATATGGTATTCATAGACTTGGAAAAAGCATATGACAGAGTCCCAAGAGAAGTCCTTTGGTGGTGCCTTAGGAAGAAAGGTGTGTTGCTTCAGTACATTGCGACAATTGAAGATATGTACTATAGGGCCAGCACACAGGTTAGAACTGCAGTTGGATTGACGGACATGTTTGAAGTAAGAGTGGGCTTATATCAGGAGTTAGCACATAGACCATACATCTTCCTATTAGTCATGGATGCGGTAACATCTGCTGTACAAGAGGACGTACCCTGGTGTGTGCTGTTTGCAGATGACATAGTCCTCATTGATGAGGGTAGGGAAGAACTACAGACACAGCTAAACAAATGGCAACATGTACTGATGAGGACCTAAAACTCAGCCAAACCAAGACTTGGTTTGGCTGAGTTTTAGGTCCTCATCAGCACATATGCTTTGTATTTTTGACGGTCTCTCTGGTAATGGTTCGTTAAAACTAAATGAAATATCATTGCCAGAAAGTACTGAATTCCGTTATCTGGGATCTCTGCTGCAGAAAGATGGCAACATTGATAGGGAGGTTACTAGGAGGATCAATGCAGGGTGGTTAAAGTGGAAACAGGTGACAGGAATAACTTGTGACAAACGCATGCCACTTAAAATAAGAGGGCTAATATATAAAACTGTCATCAGACCCGTGCTTATGTATGGGTGCAAGTGTGGCCAATGACAGCCACCGAAGAGAAGCGATTGCATGTGGCAGAGATACCAATGCTGAGGTGGATGTGCGGGGTCACAAGGATGGATAGGATTAGAAATGATTACATCAGTAGAAGTTTAAAGGTAGTATCTATCAGAAAAAATAAAAAGCCACAGACTGACATGGTTTGGACATGTGGTGAGAAGGAATGAGGAACATGTAACAAAAAAGGCACTAAATATGAAAGTACAGGGATATAGAGGGGACTGACCTGGCTGAGGAACCAGGCTTAGCAGGGATTTGGCAGTGGCCTAACACCTGAGCTCTTAGAGACTCACTACAGGCCTTAAGTGACAGATGGTCGTATACTATTTACAGATAAGGTGTGCCGCTTCAATACATTGTGACAATTGAAGATATGTACTATAGGGCCAGCACGCAAGTTAGAACTGCAGCCGGATTGATGGACATGTTCAAAATAAGAGTGGGCTTATATCAGGGGTCAGCACTCAGCCCATACCTCTTCCTATTAGTTATGGATGCGATAACATCTGCTGTACAAGAGGACGTACCCTGGTGTGTGCTGTTTGCAGATGACATAGTCCTCATTGGTGAGGGCAGGGAAGAATTACAGAGACGGCTAAACAAATGGCGACACGTGCTGGAAAATGAGGGACTAAAACTCAGCCAAACCAAGATGGAGTATATGTTCTGTAATTTTGACGGTCTCCTGGTACTATTTATTTATTTAGCGTATGGCTACACATCTAATTGTTAACAAGAACAGAAAGCAGAAAAAGTAAGAACACAAATCATAAATGTAAATCTAAGTTAGAAATATAGTTTAAAGCACTTTCAGTCATAATCAAGAAGTCACTCGGTTGTCCCGAAAAAGATCTTACTGGACAAACTTCCAAGATATGATGTATAGTCTGTCTTTCAGCACCACAGTCACACTGTGGGGATGCAACTTTTCCCCACCTAAAAAGACTGTCCCTGCACAACCCATGTTTGGTCCGAATCCTATTTAACACACTCCAAAGATTTCTGGATAACTCAAATCCAGGTGGTCGCTTTGTGATACAAGGAAGTTGTCGACTGTCCACCGGAGAGACATCAGCCCAGAGCCTTTTCCAAGATTCAGTGAGGTTGAAATTATTGGAATGCAGGGATTTAGCTCTTATAAGAGGAGGGTGTCTTGATTTAAGTCGATTTATGTTGAGGTCATCAATATCCTGATGGATCGGAAGTTGTGGATTAGACAATATTTTCCTATATTCCCTGAGCAAAGTGCTGTCCCTTCGGAGTGCAGATGGAGGGATATGGCTCAAAATAGGTAACCAGTGAATAGGAGTTGATTTAATAGTACCTGTTATGATACGTAGAGTAGCATTTAGTTGGGCATCCAGTTTTTTAATGTGAGCACTGTTCATCCATACCGGTGCACAGTATTCTGCTGCAGAGAAAACCAAGCCAAGAGCAGAGATCCGTAAGGTGGACGGCGAAGAACCCCATGTAGTTCCACATAGTCTTTGGAGGATGTTGTTTCTGGTATTAACCTTGGCAGCTAAATTCATCAGATGTGTTTTAAAAGATAAAGTTCTATCCAAAGTGACGCCAAGATATTTCGGGTTCATATTATGTTTCAATAAATTGTTGTCAAAGTAAACCTTTAATTCTTCATTTGCCAGCTT